GAGGATCAGGGGGGCAGATGCGGAGGATCAGTGGGGCAGATGCGGAGGATCGGTGGGGCAGATGCGGAGGATTAGGGGGGCAGATGCAGAGGATATGGGGGGCAGATACATAGGGTTAGAGGGAGGTCAGCATGGTTGATGTGCAGGCAGTGGAGATCTGTGCTGGTCGTGGAATGCTATGCAGACATCCCAACTCTCCCGGACGCTGCTGAGACTATTAGATAGCAGCTCCCGGCCGCCCGGGAGAGAAACACTTCCTCCCGGGAAGGTTTAATCTGCTCGGTCAAGCAGATTAAACCTTTCCCTGCGATCGTTTCTTTTTTTCTTTTCTGACATCGGGAGCCGTGGCCCGACCGTCAGTCAGAAAATAAAAAAAGGCATACGAATGCACAGCTAGATTCCTATTGGCTATTGCACTTTGCTGGAAGCAGGTGAAAAGAGAGCTGGAGGGGAGTGACGGTGACGGGCCCCATCCTGGCCGCGGGCCCTCGGTCCGTGCCCGAGTGCCCGAATGGTCAGTCCGCCCCTGTTGAGGACACAGAGTTCACAATCTACTGTTCTGCAGCCTCTGTTCTAAATGAATGGAAAGCACTTAGTACAGAGGCTTTTCATTCATTCATAAAATATTTACTATCAACCAGTTATGAATGTGGAGAAGCCTCTGTATTGAGTGCTACTACCCATTCAGACACTCATGAATAAACAGGAAGTGATTTAAAGCACTTCCTGTTCATTCATAACTCGGGACATATAGTACTATGTAAGAACAGAATAACATAGACACCGGCACGCCAAGTAATGAATCAATGGCATCTGTTTATTGAAGCATGAAACATAGCACGATGCATCAAAAAGCAAAGTTTTGGGGTCTCACAAGATCCCCTTCATCTGGAAAAATTGGTGCCCGATGAAGGGGATCTTGTGAGACCCCGAAACGTTGCTTTTTGATGCATCGTGCTATGTTTCATGCGTCAATAAACAGACGCAAATGATCCATTACTTGGAGTGCTGGTGTCTATGTTATTCTGTGATTATAGACGGTTGGCATCCGTCGATAATCCCATCTTTTATATGGAACAGCGGTTTTAAGTGCGATGGGTTCATGGAGTCTACATAGTACTATGTGTCCCCAGTTACAAACACTTGAGTGATCAGCTGATCACTCCATTGTTTGTTCTGCACACAGAGGATCTGTAAATATCACAGATATTTACTGATCCTCTGCTCTCCATTCTGATCCACTCGGACACGCACAGTGGTGCAGCACAGCCTGCAGCTTCTCCTCGGATTCTCGCTGCTCTCCCCTGCCTGTATGGGCAGAGGCAGCAGGGATCCGAGGAGAAATGAAGCGTTAAAGCCGGCAGAGGGGTGGGTTGGTGGGTGGAGGAGGGTGCGCTGTCACTTCAGGATGGCTGAGCGGTGAGAAGAGAGAGAGCTGCCGACTTTTAGATCCTGCCCGAGTGTCTCTCTTCTCACCACTCAGCCATCCTGGATGACAGCTCCCTCCTCTGCCCTTCCCACTGGCTTCAGCACTTCATTTCTTCTCGGATCCCCGCTACCTCTGCCCATACATGCGGGGGAGAGCAGCAGGGATCAAGAGGAGAAGCTGCAGGCTATGCCACTCCTCTACTTCCTGCCACCCCAAGGCCGAGCTGTGTTGGCCGCCTGGCGCCCCTGTTGCCATGGCACCCTGTGTTCGCCATGGCGACGGGCAAGGCGGCGCAGCTGCCATAGGGAGCACAGGGTGCCATGGCAACAGGGGCACCAGGCAGCCAACACAGCCCGGCCTCGGGGTGGAAAGGAGTAGAGGAGCCTCCTGGCTGCGCCCCCTCACAGCTGCGCTCTCGCCTCACCCTTTCTACGGCCCTAACGGGTGGGACTGTGTAGCACCTGTCAGAGCCTGAATGAAGCTGGCTTTAACCCAAGTTCCCAGGATCTTGTTGTCTTGGGAGTCTGGGCCATTTACCGGCTGAGGGCTTGTTCACACCATGTCCGGATCATGTCCAGACCAGAACAGTTTGTTCCTGTACGAAAAAAGCATCCCAATGTATCCCTATGGTATTTCTGGACTCTGTTCACCCCAGCGCAGTCCACTCCGGTCCACTGCGGTGGGCCAATTAGCAAAAGCAAAGGTTTACCCTTATGTGTTGCCTACACATGCGTACAAGGGTTCCTACTATTGTTGAAAAAGTCCCTGAGTTCTCTGTTGCCCCTTTCTTGAGATTTGCTCTTGTTCAGAACTGTATTAGTTCTTATGAAGGCACAATTGATAGCTAAACGGAAACCTCCCAATGTTCTGAGATAAGAGGAACACTTTTTAGCAATGGGTACATGGGTAAAGAACACAACCTGACCATTCCGTTTGTTATGCGGACCATGAGTAATTCACACCCAGAAAATTATCAGCCATACCCAAGGATGTTTTTTCAACACTACTTTTCCTATATACTATGGTTGGAAAATAACAAAACGCCATGACTAAGATGAAAGGTTTAACAAATATGATAAAAAAACGGTAAAAATGGCGAGCGCACAACTGTTATGGAATGTGGTAAGAGGAATAGATCTGTTTAAAATCAATTTTAATGTTAAACAATTCTGGAACAATTTTGAAACAAAAACAAAAGTTAGAACAAAATTAAAAACTTCTGGCTTGACAAAGTGGTCCTGAACCTCGAAACGCGTAGCCAAACTGCTCGACTGACATTTCCATCACCCAGCGAGATAGACCGCACTGGTTTCCAGTCCTGTGCCTGTCTCCAAAACGATCTGTCACAACGACTGCCGACAGGTTTTCCAAACCGCTACAGAGCGGCACTCTCACTCCCGTTCAGCCGTCGGGTCTCAGCCTGGCCAGCTGACTTCCCACGGTATTGGACGGCGCGAACACCCTCAGTGCATAGCCTGTTTACAAACAAGGCTACAGGACGGCAGATTTCTTGCGCTCCAGCCACAGGAGCCTCCTAGCTGTCACCACCATCTCTCCTCCATCACCAGGGGACCAAACCAGACACTTCCAAACCCATACCTCTCACCGGCAGGACATTACTACGTCCATCCAACAGTACAATAATCACCAGTGAAAATTCATGCACTGCCTAATCGACGATGTAGACTGTTCACCACATCCACACCGATCGGCCCGAGACACTGCTGAGCGATCCATACAGCCTTTTCTCCTGATCTGCAAGACCTCATCTTGTCCGCCCAGTGGAGTTTTCAGTCCAGTATTGATTTTAAAGTTGTTATTTATACCATCCCCACAATATCCCAGGGTTGCAGCGCTTCTTTCCACCCTCCTTTTAACAAACATGATTAACCACTAGGGTTGCCACCTGTACGGGATTCACCCGGGCAGTCCAGTTTTTGAGTCCTGTGTCCAGGTTTCAGGCCAGCTGACACCCGGACACAAGACATTTAAAGTGCCGGCACTTTAATTTTTTTGCCAGATGCAGCTACCTGAGGTTTTGTGCTTGCTGGGGACCTTGGCAGCCTTCCTGTGAGCCGCAGGTGCCTGTAAACATCTCTGTCTTCCTGACACCATGCTGCCCACCTCTGGACCCCTGGTGAGACACCACACAGCCCACACAGCACTCCTGAAAGCCTGCATATCCCATCTGAGACCCTACAGACCCACCTGAGAGCCCGCATAGCCCACCTGAGAGCCTGCAAACCCCACCTGAGAGCCCGCATAGCCCACCTGAGACCCTACACAGCTACCTGAGAGTCCGCATAGCCCACCTGAGAGCCCGCATAGCCACCTGAAAATTGCTGCATGCAGCGTTAGAGTGTTCGTGTTTGACTTGAAGAAAGGGTGGCAACCCTTTTACCCATGTGATATATAAATGTATTTGTAGATGTGTATACATTAGAATACAATTATAGAAACAGATGTTATGAAAAGAGGGTCTAAAAAAGGGACATTTGGGAGCTCCTGTATGTACAAATGCTGCTAAATTTCCAGCATATACTGAGAAGTACATTTTACTGTATGCAGCCATGTCACTTCACTTTAAAATCCATGGATTCACCCTGTTTTTTGTCCCCTGTCACCCAGTATGATGCCCCTCTGGATTCCTGTTATTTGCCAGTGGCCTGACCTGATCTCATTTCCTGTATAGCTGTCAGATGTCCCATATTTTGCAACACAGTTCTAATAACATCCCTATGTGTAAAATACAATAAGAGCTCATGCACCCTAGCCCATCCACTAAAATAGAGCATTTTACTTGTGGTGGGCCAGTGCAATGTGGCATCTCGGCAGTGTGCGGTGTATTGCACACTGCAAGAGCTGTCAATGTTTAAAAAATTTTTTTTTTATTTATTGGTTATGTGCAATTTGTACACTCCATTCCGTGCAGCCACAGCCAGCAGCCTGTAGAAAATGAATGGCAGGCTGACAGCGCGCAGCACCAATCACCGGTGCTGATACATTTTCCCGTTCCACAGCTGCAGAGATTGGGAAATGTCTCAGTGCCTGTGATTGGCGCTGTCAGCTTCCTGGCGGGCTCGGCACCGGAGCTGCGAACACGCCCGAGCCCATCCTTATCTGTAAGAATGTAAAGCTCGCCTGTACGGGCAAATCTGTATAGCGGCTGTGTCTTTCAGCCTGTCACTCCACCTGTGGTGAAACTACAAATCCCATTATGCCGCTGCCTCTGGGAATCATGCCTGTGGCTGTCAGAGTCTTACAATGCCTCTTGGGACTTGTAGTTCCACAACAGCTGGAGTGCTGAGGTTGCATTCACTGCGTCTCTGTGTATATCATTTTAAAGTATTGTATGTTTTTATGCTCTTTTACTACATGTAAAAAGGTAACGACGCGTATGTTTGGAAACACACTGAAGACTAAGGGAAATGTTAAAGGCAAACTGGGGTTGTTAAAAGGTAATTGCATCAGATGTGATCTGTAATCGCCTTGGTGTTTTGTTGCTTTTGTACAGTCTAAATAAAGTTATTGAGAAAAAAAGGCAGTCTGCAGCTTGTGGTTCACACCCCCTATCTCCCTGGCAGAAGGATCTCATCTGCTGTGTGGAGTGGACTGTCACCTCCTGTGCCCTGCTGCTGCTGTCCCTGCTGCTGTCAGCTCAGCGAGGAGATGAGCTTCTTGTTGTGAGTGTCACTTGGGCTGTCATAGCCTTTTTTTTTTGTTTTATACCTTTTCATCTAGTCTACTGTGACTGCCTTTCTTCCTCTTCCAATCTATCATTTTCTCTATTGTCGCAGGGTGATGTGTCCCCTGTCACCCGGAGTTCAGTCACTTACCAGGCTTTATGTCCTTTGTGTGTTTGGTCATAAAGCCACCCTGTGACCACAGCCTCCGTACACCGATCCCTGCACCTTTCTTGGTGGTCACTACATTCCCACAATGGTTTTTTTTGCATGGCTGCAGCTCTCTTATGTAGATGAGGTCACAGAGGTGTTCTAGGTAAACTTTTCTAGACACATAGACCTTCCTTTACAGGCATTCCCACCCCAAAGCATTCTTAAATTGCCCACTTCATATAAATGCTTTCTAAATGCAGCAAGACTTGAGCATTCAATGGGGATAGAAGAAAACAAATTGTGCAGAAAATCAGGTGCTGTGCAGAAAGGTGTTTGCAGATGTATAGGGATCTGTCAACTCCTGCAGACTTTATAAGACCAGAGATTCCATAGCACAACATTGTAAAGTGCTATCTATGTGGTTTGTTTTCTCATATTACAGTTTTATTAAGAATAGAAAATCAAAATATGTATATATCACACGGATGTTCAGATACCAAAGTACCGTACTCGGTACAAGTACAAGTACAGATACTTTTCCAGCTCCAAGGCTACACTAGAGAAAAATTCAAAAGTTAGGAGGCAGCTGTCACACAGAGCTCCTGGTATTTGTACATCTCTGTTTTAATGTATGATTTTGTTTTTATAAATATATATGTGATGTACTGATACCATTTTTGCAAGTACAAGTACTGATACTTGCCCAAGTACTCATTGATACAAGTACTGATACATTTTTGTGTATTGTCATGTGACAGTTTTTCTAAAACAATACAGACTAATGATTTCAGGACAGTGGTGGAGTGCCAGAGCCAGGTCCCACCTGCAACCACTGCAACCATGGTAGTTCTCATGAAAATGCCAAGTATCGGCACTGGTATCTGAACTGGTATCGGTGCATCCCTATTATAAAAGTCCATAGTAGGTATAGAGGCACAGGACATAAGTCAAAACATCAACATTTTATTGTCAACGTTTCAACAGAGCTTAGTCTGTCTTCATCCAGACTTCTCTTAATAAAGATGGACTGAAGTCCGGCAAAACCTCGACAGTTCAATGTTGATGCTTTGACCTATCTCTGCTGTAGGACCCGTGAGTGCCTCCTATATCTCCAAAGGATTTGTATGGATATTTCTGGATGAGCACCCGGGCATTTACCTTACAAAAAGAGTGTGGTGGCTACCTCTGGGACTAGAGATAGAGGGAGAAAAATAAAAATGAACTTTTACATACAATTATTTTTAGGCTGAACTCTAGGATAAGCAAGTATTGCCTAATACAAGAGCCATGTGTACATTTGTATTGCCTAATACAAGAGCCATGTGTACATTTGTGTACATACTTGGATCTTGGTGCACTCTGTGTGTTTCTTCCAGATCTGTGTTGTAATCCAGTGGCAAACTTTTTCTTTGTGCATGAACTTCCTGTAATAAGGACCAGTCACTTCTGCTCTCTGTCCTTGTGCATGGTGATTGGTCTTGTATCCGCCCCTCCTGTAGTTTTATGCAGGCAGCCTGTTGTGGGTGGATCTGCTGAGCCCCTCTCACTGCTATTAAAGGTTTTCAAGCTATTTCAAATGCTGATTGAATCACTTACATGGCATGCTGATCCTTGATATTTAAAAGTTTTAATTGCCTTCAGAATCAGCTGGTCCACTGAGCACTGGCCCTGATATGCTGTTTTAGGGTGGCTCCTTTCCCTTGCAGGGTCCCATGGAGCCACCATTCTGTGTGCTAGTAAGTTGTGCGTGTCTCCACAGTCACTCAGGTACAGCAAGGCAAGATACTGCCCTGCTCCTCCCTCCCTTCTCCCAGCAAGTAAATGGACAACTACAGGTGACTGCTCTGACCCTTGTGATCTTGTACTGGACAGGAAGTTCAAAGAAGGTGAGCTGAGAGAGTTGGAGCCAGCTGTTAGGAAACATGGTGACTGTAAGTGCTTGAGAAGAAATGTAAGCGTTTTTTGGGGGGAAATAGATTTAACCCAACTCACTTGGCAAAATTTTGATTGTATAGCTGGAACGTTCTAAAATGAAGAGCTTGTACTGAATTTATAAGATGAGTATTGGGGTCAGCCTGTAAAAGTGAGACGTGTGTGTGTCATAGGCTTTGTAGTCTGTCTTTTGTCTATCGGTAAATATCCAGTTAGAGGTACAAAATGCATTTGATTGAACTGTGACATTTCTGTGTTAGACCACTTTCACACGGGTGTTCCGTCTGTCCATTTTTGACCTGTGATTTCACAGATCGAATACAGACTACAATACATCCCTATAAGCGGCCAGATTTAATAATAATATTATTTTTATTATTATACAGGATTGATATAGTGCCAACAGTTTGCGCAGCGCTTTAAGGAAGACATTACTATCACAATACAATTTAAAACAAGATGGTAAGGAGGGCGCTGCCCGTGAGGGCTTACAATCTAAGAGGGAGGGGAAGTGATACATGAGGAGGTAGCTGTGTGGGGATGAATTGTTTGAGAAAGCGATAGTTCAGTGGTTAGGTTGAGGTGGGACAGGTTTCCCTGAAGAGATATGCGCATGTTCTCCCACCAGGTCCCGGTAAATCAGGTCTGTAGTACCGAATGCAAAAAGTTTGCGTCCAGGTCTGCTTTTACTGACCTGAACTGATGTGGGCAGATTTAGGCAGACACACTTCCATTTACATATGGCCACCCATTGTAAATACATGGGTCTGCTTTCCCTGCATACCAAGATGGTGGAAAAATCAGGATGGACACAGATGTCACAAATGTGACATTAGTCTTCAATCTGATCTGACTCCTCTCGGATCCCCTGCAGAGACAGAACAGACAATGCCCAAGTGAAAGGGGCCTTACAATTGGAAACTGTCTGATACTCCTATTTATTGGTATTTTAAAGGAGAAATTTATCCTTTCTGTGTGTCCTGGTGACCACTGTCAGTAGGAACGTAACTGAGGAAGAATCCAAAGTTTTGTGTTGTCACCAGAACCGAAATAGAGGGGAAATCTTCCAATAGAGACATGTATTCTGGAAACGGCTGTCAAAAGCTCATCACACCCATTACAATGTGACAGTACAATCTTCATTAGATTTACCAACAACTATGTAGTATGAGGGCCTACCTGATTGAATACACATTGATTGGATAGCCTAGGTAGGTCCTCTTATTACAACATTTTGGTAAAAAGAGGATTGTATGGTCTTTACCTCATTATCTACCTGACAGGGCTTTTAACCCCATATTTGCAGCCACAGAGTGTGCTTATATGATTGTGTCACTATGTCGCCCAGAAGAAGGGACCCTGCATGGCCCGAAACATTGGCTGTATGACGCATGTGACAATGTAATAAAAAGTGCTTTTACTTCTTGCACATATCATGGAGTGCTGGTGACTTCTATTATGGACTGTATCTGACACGGCGCCATCCGTGTTGTCACTTCAAGCACCAACCCTCCGTTATGGTCTGTACGCTGTATGGAGTGCAGGTGATTTCGTATTATTGCTTATATGATTGTGTTCACTGTTATACTGTATCATTAATTTGCATTGTGTGCTATTTTTTGTTTTTTAAGTGCACATTTTCAACTTGACGATTATTTAAAACACCCAAAACATTATGAGGGGAATTTATCAAATCTGTAGCAGGCAAAATCTGAAGCAGCTGTGCAGGGCAACCAATCAGCTTCTCTCTTTCATTTTAAAATCTTAACTGAACAAACTGAAGAGAGAAGCTGATTGGTTGCCATGGGCAACTGCTCCAGTTTTTGACTGCTCCAGTTTTGCTAAATTGCCCTCTGCATATTTTCAGAAAGCAGGGATTCTGTAGTATAAAATGGTGTCAGTTGCAATTTTTTATTTCACGCGATGATTGTGCTACCAAATGATTGATTGTGTTTATCAAATCTATGTTTTCATTATTTAAAAAATACACTCAAATTAATTTTAGTGGACATGAACACAATATCATACCCAATTTTTCTGTTAAAAATACTAGTATCGGTATCGGTGCATCCCTAAATGTAGCTGTGGAGCGGGGAATGCCCTGGCTGCAGCTGATTGGGCCGGGAGGGGGATACATCAGTAAAGTGACAGTTTTGCACAGGCATAGGTGAACTCCCTAGGTGCTACATGGATGTAGCAAATATCTACCTATGCTGTAAGCTATACAAGTACCATGTAGCAGAGATTTTTCACGTCATATTAGCACAAATGTGCTACTTTAAATCTTCTATGTACTGTAGGCCTACAATAATTGTAATTTCCTTGTTTTGAAATAAATTGTTACATGATCATATTACTGTTTCTAAATAATACAGCTTGTAGATTTCCAAAAGACAAATTCTAACGTCTTTGGGTCAGTGTTTTTTTTTTATTAGTTATTTTTTAAAGTTTGTTTAAACTTGTTTTATATGAGTTCTGTAAACAAGAAACAGCTTTCTTTGTAGGTGAGAGTGATATAATGCTTTACTTGTGAAAAAGAGATTAGAGCTCCACCTGCTGGCTAGAACAAAAGCTACAGAATATTTAATTTTAACTTAAAATGCAATATTAATATGCAACTTTTTTAATGTATTTTTTTTTTTTTTTTAGTGCTGACCATATTAAATAAAGAAAACGTGTGCAAAAAAAACCAAACTGTACTGTATATATAATGAATATTAGTTAAAATAAGCTGTGTGAGGAGTTTCAGTTCAACATGTTTTGTCCTTTCCTCAATTACATCCTATTGATTCTTGTGATTGGTGAGGAAGCAGATTTCAGCTAACGAAGCAGACTCTTGAGCACATATTAACGGCAGGGCTAATAAAACATAATTTATTGCACACTACTTTGCTGTTAGAGCATGCAGCCTCTGC